GCGTGTGTGTGTGTGTGTGTGTGTGTGTGTGTGTGTGTGTGTGTGTGTGTGTGTGCGTGCGTGTGTGCACGCACGTGCATGTATGTGATTATACGAGCGCGAGCGCGCGTATGCGTGTGTGTGTGTGTATGTGTGTCTGTGTGTGCATGTGCGTGAAGTCAGCGGAGCCGGGGCGGTGCATCAGACTCCCGCAAGGAGGAGGAGAAGGGAGGGAGGGACCAAGACCGGCTGGGACGAAGGCCAGCTGGGAACGGTGATGGCGTGCACACACACGCATGCGCGTCCGCGCCCGCGACCGTGCGACGCGCGGGCGGGGTGGGCGCGGGGGCCCCGGCCGCCGCACCTGGCCGCCATGCAGAATGTGAGGGCACCGGTCATGCAGCCGATGTCGAGAGCCGTCGACTCCCCGAATTCGCCCGTGATGTCCTGCGGGCCGGCAGCGGCGGCAGGTGGCAGTTTGGGGGGGGGTGGTGTGTGGTTTGGGTAGCAGACAGCAGTGCCCTTTCAGTGGCGAGAAGAACAAGTGCATGTTGAAGCGAAGAGCAACGCCGTGAGGCACCGCGGCAGCCGGCAGGCGGCGGTGCTGCTGCTGCTTTATGGCCTGGACGCCAGGGCTAAGCTCCACCCCGGCCGGCTCGAGCCCACCAACAGCACCCCCCAGGGGCGCTCGAAGGCGCCCCGGTTCCGCCGCCCCCTCCCCAAAGCAGCCGCACCTGCAGCTTCTCGCAGTAGCGCTCTGCGAGCAGCGCCACGCGCTCGTGCAGCGGCCGTCGCGCCTGGCCGTGCAAGGACAGGGGGGTGGGGGGGGAGGGGTCGGGGCAGGTGGAGCATCGAGGGGAAGCCTCAGAAGGAGCACTCGTCAGGGCACGGCTGCCGGCAGCCTGCGCGCCATATCACTCGCCTAACCCAGCTGCCCGCATAGCGCCGCAAGCCACTGCGGTGGCAAACGAGATGACCCGCATCGCGGCACCCCTGGCGCCCAACCCCGCGGCCCAAGGCGGCGTCCGCCAACCCATCGGCCCTCACCCGCGCTGCGACCGCGGCGGCCGCCGCCCCTGGCCCGTCCAGCTCTCCGCCCGGCCCGCCCTCGTCCGGCGAAAGCGGCAGCGAGTCCAAGAGAGAGCCGGATGAGTACTGCGCCTGCAGGGCGCTGGTCAGGGGCGAGGCCGAGCAGGCGGTGTCCAGCGGCTGCGGCGTCCGCGCCGTGTTGAACGAGCGCCGCAGCCGCGGCGCGATCGCGCGGGCGCCGGCCGTGGGGGCGGCGGCGCCGCCGCCGCTGGCGCCCGCGGCGGCCGCGTCCGACGAGAGGCCGCCGGCGCTAGAGCTGCGGAAGAGCCTGGGCGACTGCTGCCCGCCATGCCCGGCGGGCGGCATCGGCGGCTTTGTCGGGGACATGGCATGAGCCGCAGGCCAGGGGGGCCGCGGTGGGGACCCGCCCTGCGCGTCTGCGGCGGAGACGGCTGCGACAATCGCTGCGACCGCCGGGCCGCGCTTCGTGCGGCGCCGCTGCTGCTGCTCGCCTTCGCCCGCATCGGAGGGGTCGGCGGCAGCGGCGCCACCACTGCTGCTGCTGCTGCTCGCGCCGCTGGGAGAGGACGTCGGGTGCGAGAGCGCGGGGCTGCCGGGCGCGCTTGGCGGCGACGCTGGTTGGGGCAGGCCCGGCGCGTCGGCTGCGGCCGGGGTGCTCGGAAGGGACAGAGGCGGGCGGGCCCGGGGACCGTTGGCAAGGGGAGCCGGTGAGTGCGGGCCGGCCTCCTCGCCACCACCGCGGTCTGCTTCTAACGGCGCTGTTGGTGCTGCCGCTGCCGGTGGCACGGCAACAGCAGCAGCAGTAGCAGCAGGAGGAGGAGCAGCAGCAGCAGGAAGAGGAGCAGCAGCAGGAGCAGCCGGGTCTGCAGCCGAGCTGGCGTCAGCGTCATCGCTCAACGGCCCCAGCTGGACAATCGCCTCCATCGGCTCCTGCTGCGGCTGAGGATCTGCTGCAGCCACGCCAAGCCAGCTTGCAAGCAGACTCGAGCCACCCAACGCGGCAGGCTTCTCCTCTAGCCTGCCCCAGTACCACACCAACGCAGCGGCAGCAGCGGCGCCCACCGCCACCGCTGCGCCAGCGCCCACTGCCAGCATAGTCAGGCTTCCAGAGGAGCGCCGTGAGCGCGAGAGAGGCATATTGACGGCCTCCCCCGCGCCACAGGCGCCCAAGTGCCAAGCGATGTTGCGCACTCAATCTCGGCCAGGCTGTGCAGACGATATGGTTCGTGTGTCATAACATGGCGATTTTAGCGTTCAAAATTTTAATACAAGGTTACATGTCACGGCCCCACCTTGCATGCTGTTGTGGCTGCAAGCGCTCGACGCTGCTACGCATTCGGCGTCACACCGGTGACCCAGCGTGCACGCAGCATGTCAAGCAGCTGCCACGCGTGGCGAGCCATAAAAATCACAGTTTACCCCGCAGGCACGCGCAAAGACTGCAAAGGAAGGCCGTCCCGGGCGGGCGCGCCGCTGGTGACGCCGTCCGCGCCTGCCGCAATGCAGTGCAGGTACCGCGCAAGGGGAACCAACACGGCGTCACGGCGCTTTGGGGCTGGCTGGGTTCAACCGCCGCTTTGAGGGCAATGCAACATAATTCGTAGCTCGTCAGGTGGTCGGCAGGTGGCGAGGCCAGAAAAGCCGCTGCATGGGACGCTCTGGGGCCGCCAGGCGCGCCCCTGTTGCATGCTCAGCGGCTGCAGGCGCACCTGCAGCGCGTGCAAGCTCGCCTCACAAGTGTGCGCGTGCACATGCACACACGCGCATCTGTGTCGGTCAACAGCAGTGCTGTGCGCTGTCAGGGAGGGAATAAGGCATGCATTTGATATGTGCACAGCAGCCATCGCTTCGTTCATGAAATGCATTTCCAGGATTCAAGACCGACCCCGAGCGCTCGAAACGCAGGCCCAGCCCAAAAAGCCTCCCGGGTGTCCTTGGCACAAGGAGGTGGGAGATGGTGGAGGACACCTGGGGGGAACCGGTGAGGCGTCCGTTCCTGACCTGAGGCAAGGCAGGCATCCGTTCCTTATCTCAGGGCCGCAGCATCAAATGCGGGCGACACAGCGCAGGCTGCAGCCGCCCAGGGCCCAGGGCGGGGCCTGTCCGACCAAGCAATCCCTGCAGCAGCGGGGCGCGGCCCCCGCGCGGCGGGGCCGCGC